GAGGGATTAGTGTTGTAATTGATGTTTTGATACTTTGATATATATAGATCTTGTTTATTCAATGATTTATGTGGTTTAATGCTTCCAATTGGTCAATTCATTCTATCCATATGTCTATGTATGCTAGAATAGATGTTCATGTGTTTATCTCTAGATTTTGTGTTATTGATGCATGTCTATGTGTATTGATGCTATAAATTTAGAGATTGTCAAAATATTGTGCTTAAAAGAATGCTTTTGTGATTCTCTTAATGGTTCATGCTTATCTCTTGATGGATTGTGCCTCTCCCCTAGTTTATTTTCATGCTAGTAGTGTAGAAGTAGTATAGTTATAGTGTAGTGTTAAATGGGAGGACAATTTATACTTGTTGTTTGATGATCCAAGCTTGTGAATGTAATTAGCATATGTCTCTATCCTTGTGTTGTATTTGGATTGTGAGCTTAATGAAATGATTAATAACTTGTTTTGATTTATTGTGCCTTTCACATGTTGTTTAGATAATATATGCTTCATAGCTTAGATATATTGTGTCTTTCAAATGATGTATAGACAATATATGCTTAACTAGTCATCCTTACTTATTGAATCAACCAATTACATACACACCACTATTGCAACCCACTATTTGCCCTCATTAATCACTTGTCAATGATATAGAAATGCATTGCTTGGTGGTGATCTCTAAACCCCAAGACTCTTCGCTCTCTTACTTACTCTTAATTGCACTCTTTTGCTATTACTTAGTTTAATTTAGTTGCTCTTTAATCAACTAACCAACCAATTGTTTGATCACTTGACCTACTAGCCCTAATAACGATTCCACAATCAACTCCGATATTGCTCAATCCCCATAATCCCTTGGGACGATCCCTACTCGCCTTAGCTATATTTTTAGTAAAGGCAGTAATGGCTTTATAAATGTAAAACTTGGCTCTCGCCTTAATGCACACTCTTAAACATATGGTAGGACGACGGCCATCAACATACAGTTAAGCTAAATATACAAGTATATACAAAATGCTAAAGCGTACAAGCATATATAACATACTAAAACTGTTAAGGGAAACTCCAAAACATACTACCATATAAGCACGTAAATATGTTATTAAATCAAAATATGTTATCAAGGAACACGTAAACATATCAAAGCATGTCAAAAAAAGTATGATATACACCCAAAACCTGTCATCCTAAGGTTTTCGAACCTAGGAGCTCTGATACCACTTGTCGTGACCTAAGTTTTTCAACTCGGTGCATCAGTGATAACCTGAAAGTTAACCCGATAATGGATTCAAAATGCAGAAGCAAAAGATGAAACTAAAGTCCTTTGAGATATAAATCATCTCTAAGACACCAACGTGACATTCCATGAAGCCACGGGACTCAAGGAAAGGTGAATGAACAAACGAGAGTCAAAACGAGCAAAATCCGTCAATTAAGGGCAAAATGGTCAATTTATAATTGAGAAGGGAAATTTGACTCTAAACAAGTCAAATAAGGTGAATACAACTTAATCTAATCATTTCACAACATTTCAAGAGGTTCCAAGAACTTTGGACAAAAATCCCACAAAACGCTCTTTCCCGGTTTAAGTGAAAATTGACACCCTCCCACTAAAACCTGAATAAATCCCACTATGATTTGAATCTGAGAATGGGATTGGTATCATTGGAAAGCTAACTCAAAATCCTTGAGTTTAGGCTCAAGAATTACTCCATTTGGGTTAGAAACAAAGGAGTTATAGCTAATTGAAGTAGGAACTTCAATGCTGGAACGAAATCTGGAAGACAGGTGCATGAGGGGAGTTTCGGTCGACCGAAATAAAGTTTCGAATGACCAAATTGGATAGAATACTTTCTGAAGACATGTTTTTAAAGGTTGGTTGGTTTGGTAGACTGATTTGAGGCCATCGGTCGACCGAAATAGAGTTTCGGTCGACCGAAACTCCTCGAAAAGCTGCTTTAAGGCCTTTTGTAAACCCAAGGTGTTAAGGTTCAACCTATACTTTGAATCCCATGATGATTTGGTTCAAAATTGAATGTGTAATACTGATTTCTAATGAGATATGGATGTATGGACATGCCAATAACCTTAATTTGAATTATTTATATATAAAACAACGGCTTATGGCCTCATACACATCATTTACAAAAATCTCACATGCTAAACCTCCAAAGTTTGTTTAAATACATTCTTAAAGTAAAAGATGGTACCAAATGACTACAAGTGCTAAATTAAACATGCCTGGCCCTTGGTCTCATTACATACATGTTATTTAAGCATCAAAAAGTGAGTAATCAAGTTACTCGTAGGATGGGGTGCATGCGCATTCCCTATAGTTTCAAGTATAATGTGAACCAAACATAGACCATCACAAGGGTGCATTCCGCCTAACGTCTATGTTTCCATGGTCCTCTAAGGGATCATCTCAATCTATACAAATGTTTGAAACGATAAACACATAGCATCCAAGTATATAAGAGAAGTACGCTAACCACATTAAAACTAAGATTACCAAATCACAAGTTACAAGAAATCCATGATTTACAACTTGGAAAGCAATACAAAATTAAATAATGGAAGGACTAGGATATGTGGCCACGAGACCATACAAGTTATTTTGGGTAATTACGACCCACAAAGTACTACCTAGTGCGCACTATGACATAGGAGAATTCTTTTCCTCCATACTAGAGCCAAGCCCTAGCCATCAACATTTCATATCCTCATAAGCTTCCAAAAACCAACAAGTTCATGACATTTATATAATCTCAATGCATGAAACTACCTACCAAGCACAAGTAGGGTAAAATCACACAACCCATGTCCTAAGGTTACATGTCTAAGTTGGCAAGTTAATGATACTACACATTATACCATATGAATTTAATATTAATATAGGCTACAACTACTAATCATGCAATATAGTAATTCACCTACAAGTAATTATAAGTGCTATATACAAGATTTTCGTACTAGACTCTCAATGAAATCTCCATTTACTTAACAACATAAGTGCAATTTCAAGATAATCATAATAAACCCTCAATGAAATCACAAGTATTAGACAAATCATTAAATAATAACCTACCTATACAATTTAATAGTCATATACATACTTTAATCCACAAATCCTAAGTCAAGTATATAAAATCTCTATTTATATGCAAATACAAGAATTTAAAAAGGCATGTAATCAATTTATATTAAGCTCCAATATATATAAAACCCAAAGAGAATAAACATACAACCACCCCTACCTCAATAGAGAATTGAATCTCTATAATCCAAAGCAACCAAGCTTAAAATGAAAAACCAAACTAGGGTTTTGTAAAGGAGAGTGAAAGGAAGATAAAGTATTCCAAGCTTAATGGTCTAAGGTGAGTGGAAGAAGGCCAAAATGAAGAAGAAAGCTATTAACCAAGCTTTTCTCCAATGGTGGCTAAGTTAGGGTTCTTGAGAGGAAAGAGATAAAATGAAACAAAGGTGTAAACCCCAAGCTAAAATGGTGGGATTCTCCACTCACTAGATGCTCTTGCACTACCTCTCATACACATACTAATGCAAGACCAATTATGAAGCCTACACTTGTCACCAACCTATGTAAACTTCCAAGACTTAACATTGAGCTTACACTTGTCAACCATCCATGCCAACAAGTGCTCCTATCCTAGGCCAACAAATGGGTCAATCTCCACCCTCCATGTGTCATCAAACAAGGCTTCCAAGTGGTTCCTCCACAATGTCAACAAGTGGCACCTTAAGAATGTGACACTTGTCACATTTTTTGAAAATTGCAAAAATGTCCTTTTTGAAAATATCTTCCAAATAAAATTACAAAATGGTCCCTAAGATGAAAAATAATTACTTTATTTAATTACACAAAACCCCTCAAGTTTAGAGTAATTACCAAAAGTCATACATTCATACCATTTACAAGAAAAGTAAACATTTAACATACTTTTCTACAAAAGTGAAAATGTAGATATCATGGAAATAAAATATCATGGATGTATACAAAGCCGGAATCAAATCCAAGTACAAAAAGTGAGGTTATGCAAGGAAAAATGAAAAATGACTAAAGAATGAAATAGGGAAAAGACAAAAAAAAGAAGAAGAAATTTACCGAAAAAAAAGAAAAAAAGGGAAATGACCGGGTCATTACAGTAAGTATGGATAAGATCGAATATTTTCGATCGATCGAAGAAAAGTTGGATCGATCGAACATGGTGGATTCTTTTGGATAAGAACAAAGGCGTGGCTCCATCTTGATGTGTCCAGATCGATGTTGCTTCGATCGATCGAACATGTTGATTTCCACACTTTGCTTCATTCTGCTTCCACTTTGCTCCATTCTTCCATCCAGCTTGAGTTAGCTTCTTTAATGCTCTTATTTGGCTGAATTAACTTATTTTTGGGATAAATGCCTAAAAAGGGCAATAACATGAAATTAGTCTAAAATAGGAAAGTAAGATAGATAATGGTCCTAAAATACCTAAGTTTAAGGGGGTTAATTGCGCACTTTTCAGCGCTCATCAAGTATAGCATGGGTTCAAGGAAAAGAAACTAAAAAAAAAGAGATAAACGGCCCATTTGGATTGGCTTTTAGCTTTTTAGGGTTGGAAGCTGTTTTGAGTAGTGTTTGGCTAATTTTTTAAAAGAGCTTTTGAGTCTTAGAAGAGCGTTTTGGAGAAGCTGGGTACCCTAGCTTTTCTTAAAAGCTCTTTTTTAAAAGACACGTGAAGCTGTTAAGGGGTTTAATGAAACTTTCAAAATACCAAGCGTGCCCTCCGTATTTGTGAACAAAAAATAAAGTACTCCACCTGTATCCCTATATATGTAAAGAAACCTAATCATGTAACACCCCCACATTTTCCACGCATAAGTTAATCAGGCTTATACACGAAAAACGAGGGATATCAAAAACAATTGGCAATATACAAGCATGGAATACAAAATGATGATAATAAAAGAATTTAGACAAGAAAGGAACACTAAATAATACAACATCCATCCATCCTTTATTTAATACCGTACTTCATTACAACTTGGAAATCCTATGTCAAGGATCCCTAAATATAACCCTGAGAGTTCAACGTCAAAAGTAAATAAAAACTGAAACTGAAGTAATACATAAAACTTCTACCCTGAACTGGATCGTAAGAGTAGATGAGTTCGGATGGTGGTCCCACACTGCTAACCTCAACCTTGGAACGGGTACTGACTGTATCTTGAAATAACAACAATGGTGGGTCAACCCCACGAGCAAGTCTCTACTATGACCCAAATCAGAGAATCAAATAAATTAATCATTTATATCCGGATGAGTACTATATCTGTATACATCCTAAGGGAACCATCCAATGTATAACATGACCTCAACCAGAATAGACGGTGATCACTTAGACTCACACTAGGTGGTTAAGTGTCGCCTTTCCCTACCCGGGAAATCAGCTATTATACATGGTGCACGGTACTGACAACACAGACTATAACGAACTACACAGTGATAACACCTCGCAAAGTACTGATGAATATATTGAGCATATAAATTAGGCAACACATGCCAACAATATTAATAAATATACCGAGTATGTCAATTAGGCAACACATGCCAATAATATTAAACCACATACCCCGACAGCCACACATCTGTCTATAGCAACGAATGCATAAGGTATAAATGAGTCTAAACTTATTAGCCAGCTCACATGGTTCTATATGGCAACACATCCATATAATATAAATGCGACATAATAAACAGTCCATTTATTCCCTGAAATGCACACAGCATAATAATCATGGTTGATATATGATTAACAGTATAAATATCCCATAACATCTAATGGATAACTTATATGACGATAACCGTGACATTATTAACAGTACTAATGAATACCATTTAATAAAATAATAACACCACCTATAGTAATGTTGTTCAAATGAATCACATTCATATCCGTACGGTAAACGGGCCAATTAAGGTTAGAAATATTAATCGGCCATAACAATACTTAACGGGTAGAAAAATAATAATTTCGTGGCCCGTTAAACCCGTAAATACCAACGCAGTACCTAAAAATCCAAGTTTAAGGTTCTGGAATTTACAAAACAGGCCCTAGGGGTATTCTGGACTTTTCCAGTAGCTGTAGAGACCCCACACGCACCTCCCAGAGCCTCCCCACGCGCAGCCCAACCTTCCCCACTCTCCCACGCGCCTCCACGCGCGTCTGGCATCAGCCACGCGGTCACACGCGCTCCCACGCGCGTCTGGAAAGTTGCACGCGCGCGCACGCACTCCCACGCGCGCGTTGATGGCTTCCTGCTGACGTGGTGTCCTCCGGTTGGTTGGCTGCATCACCTTTCCTACATGCGCGCCACACCGGATCAATCCACCTATGCTCCTTTCATCCTACGGTTGATGATTAGCGCGCACCATCATATGGTGTCCCGCGCTACACCGAATCAATCTAAGGATTCACAACCCATCTAACGGCTGCTGATCCATGCGCATGCTTGTTACAATACACCGCAACACACCAGATAACTCCGGTCACCTTCCTCACTGCCGGTGGCCGGAAAACTCGCCGGAGTCTCGCCGGAAATTACAGAAAATGCCCGGAAAATTCCTAAAAATTCTAAAAAAATCCCTAATGCCTTAAGGAAATATTTTTAGATATTTTGAACATCATAGGACAATAACTAATTATATACCATCCTAAATAATTAAAAATTTCACAAATTTAATAAACTAAAATTCCTAATTTATTAAACTCCTTACATGGTCTCTATGCTCTAAAATAATATCAATAAACTAAACAATTAATTTATTAATTCAAAGGGGAAAAATAGATAATAACTTGCCTTTTTGGATTTAAAATAAATCCGCCGGTTGCGCGTAATCGGGTAAATTCCCTACACCGGTCCAAGCTCCTTTCTTTCTTTCTCTTCCTTTCCACACTCTTACAATAGCTCACTAGAATTTATAATTTGTTTCTAACTCCCTTTCTTTTTTTCTAAGGTAGGCTAGCTAATTTATATACAAATTATATAATATAAATATTACAAATATCTCATTTTTACATTTACTAACCACCTTCCCAACCATATGGCTTCAATTCCACCCATAAACATTGATGAAATCCTATCCTAATCTCTAATTTCATCATGACATTGGTTTAATACTATTATTATTATTATAACCATTATTATTATTAATAAACTTTTATAATTATTATTATTATATTATTATTATTATTATATTATTAAACTATTATTATTATTATTATTATTACATAAGAATACATTATATCATTATAATACTTTAATTAACTAATAATGATTAATATAAGCATAACCAATAAATAAAATTATTAATAATAATACATGCATAATTAAATGAATAAATTTACTATTTTAACATACACAATTAATTTACATGCACATTTAAATGAACTTAATATAATAATGTAGCATGCACAATAATAAGTAAAGAAATCCTCACATAATTGAATTTTTAAATAAACTAAACTCTTTAATAAAATACGGGGTATTACAAATCACATCACAGATTGTCTCTTTCATCTAGTTCGCATAGCAAAAGGTTCCTCCTTTCCTTTTTCTCATCCTCAAGATTAGTCCATTGTGTTGGTTGAGACTTAAGAATTCAGGAAGCTTTTTCACATGGTTACATGAAATCCACTACCATCTAACCTTGTTATATCTCAGCCCAATCTTCTTCTTCTTCTTTTTTTTTTTTTTTTTTTTTTTTTTTAATAATAAAAAAAAATAATTTATAGTGAAGAGAAACTGGCATTGTCTGTTTCAATTTGTGTTTTCATTAGACAAATAAGTCCTAAATACAATATTATTTTAAGTTTTATCATGAATCAGATTGGTTAGATTTTATTAAACGATGAGTGAGAACAATATATATATATATATATATATATATATATATATATATATATATATATATTGCTATTGTAATTTATATTTCGATTCATTCTTGATATATATATATTGCTATTACAATTTATATTTTGATTCATTCTTGATTTTGGTTTCTTGTTTTCCCTTTTTTCTCATATACATTACCATCATATGTTTTTGCCTTTAATTTTGTTTTCTCTTAGTTTTGCGAAGTTGTGGGTATATATAGGTAATACATGTGTATATTTTATATTATTTACTTGATGATGGCTATGAAAATAAACTCCATAGGTTGGGCTAATGACTTTTTCAACTTACACAACCACGGTCAACCAAAAAATATGAAGAACAAAAAAAATCTTTTCATCTTTAGCTTTTTTTTTTTCACCTCGAAATTGAATTGGGAAATACTTTCCATCTTTAGCTTTTTTTTTTTTCACCTCAAAATGAACATGTATGTGAAGGCGTCCTCAAAATCTTTCAATGGAAACCACGATGTACTAACGAAAAAAAAATTTGAAGAAAAAAAAATTTTCTTTCCATCTTTAGCTTCTTTTTTTATTTTATTTTATTTTTTACCTCAAAATTGAATTGAAAAATAAGTGAACTTGTATGTAAAGCATTGTATTAAAAAAAGAAATTCCTTCCATATATCAATTTCTCAAAACACTCTAGAAGAAAGAATTTATAAAATTAGTTACATATATTATGTTGAAAAAAATGAAAGAAAGAAAAATAATTAAATAATTAACTACGTGAATAACTTCCTTATTGTGAAATTAATAAAAAAAAATGTAAAAGTGTTATAAAAGTGGGCTCCACTTCCATAAATGTAAATACAAATTGAAGAAGTACATGAGGCGGTGGAAGAAACCTGTTGGTCCATTGACATGTTTACATGCCATTGGTCCATTGATGTGTTTATATCCTATTGGTGTAGTGATGAATATGTTAACTGCTCCATTAGGCGGTGGATCTTGGCTGAATATATCTGATAGTTTATTCTGTAAATTGTAGCTATCATCTTTCAGTGAATTAATAAAGTTCTCTCTCTTCTCACTTTACATATTCTTTCTTATATTTACAATACGTTATCAGCACGAGCTTAGACACAAAAGAATGTGATGCACCAGTGTTAAACAGTATACGAGCAGTTCTACCATGTATAGAAAACATACCCTCAATAGCTTGAGGAGCCTGCGCATTATGTGGCATGAAGTTATAAACTCTGCTGTGATGCAACTGCTGTGGAGGTTGTCCCGGAGGAAATGGTGGTGCTGGAAGTGCCGGAAAATTCTGAACTTGCCCACCTGACATCGGTGGGGCCGGTAGAGGTAACGGCTGATTAGGTCTCGGCTGCCCATACTATCCCTGCTTAGCTTTGGGACACATCTTGGCCGGATGCTCAATCTCTCTACAGTGATAACAACGTCCCGTAAAAAGACCTGCCTGCCTCCTCTGTTGACTTCCCGACCACTGTTCCTGTCCGGTCTGAGGTATCCCACCTTGTCTACCCTGATTAGGGACTCCATCCCTCTGCACATCTAGGTTTCCTTTGTTTTTCTTCCAAGGTTGATGTCCTTGAAATCTGCCCCGATCATTGGACTTGGTACTACTGCTGCTTCCTTTCTCCACTGTCTGGTAGTCTCGGTTAGTCCGCTTATCTCCCTTGGACTTCCGGTAATCACTCCTCATCTGGCAATGCTGTAAGGCGGCATTAACCACCTGGATATAAGTAGTATATGCAGGACTACCTATGATCACCACTTTAATCGGCCATATCAACCCCTTCACAAAGTGGTCTCTCTTCTTTTCTTCCGTATTGACCTCCTCTGGTGCAAATAATGACAAATTAATGAACTTTTGTTCATACTCAGCCACAGTCATATCCTCCTGTTGCAGATCCAGAAATTCAGTCTTCATCGCTGATCTTACTGACATAGGAAAATACTTGTCGTCAAAGCGAGTCTGAAATTCAGTATAAGTCAATCTGGTCCTCTCTTCGACAGTAGTAATAGACTCCCACCACTGCAATGCATTGCCTATCAGCATAAACGTAGCTAGCATCTGTTTCTGCACTTCGGTACAGATTACCATCCGAAGATGACGCTCGCTCTCCTGTTTCCACTGATATGCTAACAGGACATCTGTGGACCCTGCAAATGTCGGTGGATTCCCTATGATAAACGAGTGACGAGTTTTGTCCCATGACATTGGCTGTGCCACTGGTTCAGGAACAGGTATTATCGGAGGAGGTTGCTGGTTTCGTAGAGCAGATGCTACTCCTGCTGCCACAGCTCGTGCAATGATATCAGCAACTTGAGGGGAAAATTCCTGATTCTCATTTTGAGTTGGGGAAATACTGCGATGCTGGTTCGCATTCCTTGTCCCACGCCGAGACATCCTTCTTTTAAATTCAGAAAAATCTAACGTCAGTATATTATAATGGACCGACTAAGAGAATACAAAGAACCCTAATACTTAGGCTCTAATTATCAGAATACACAACGCGGAAGTATAGTAATCATAGATCCCTAAGACACTCGAACCTGGAATGCTCTGATACCAACTGTAACACCCCCACATTTTCCACGCATAAGTTGATCAGGCTTATACACGAAAAATGAGGGATATCAAAAACAATTGGCAATATACAAGCATGGAATACAAAATGATGATAATAAAAGAATTTAGACAGGAAAGGAACACTAAATAATACAACATCCATCCATCCTTTATTTAATACCGTACTTCATTACAACTTGGGAATCCTATGTCAAGGATCCCTAAATATAACCCTGAGAGTTCAACGTCAAAAGTAAATAAAAACTGAAACTGAAGTAATACATAAAACTTCTACCCTGAACTGGATCGTAAGAGTAGATGAGTTCGGATGGTGGTCCCACATTGCTAACCTCAACCTTGGAACGGGTACTGACCGTATCCTGAAATAACAACAATGCTGGGTCAACCCCATGAGCAAGTCCTCTCTACTATGACCCAAATCAGAGAATCAAATAAATTAATCATTTATATCCGGATGAGTACTATATCTGTATACATCCTAAGGGAACCATCCAATGTATAACATGACCTCAACCAGAATAGACGGTGATCACTTAGACTCACACTAGGTGGTTAAGTGTCGCCTTTCCCTACCCGGGAAATCAGCTATTATACATGGTGCACGGTACTGACAACACAGACTATAACGAACTACACAGTGATAACACCTCGCAAAGTACTGATGAATATATTGAGCATATAAATTAGGCAACACATGCCAACAATATTAATAAATATACCGAGTATGTCAATTAGGCAACACATGCCAATAATATTAAACCACATACCCCGACAGCCACACATCTGTCTATAGCAACGAATGCATAAGGTATAAATGAGTCTAAACTTATTAGCCAGCTCACATGGTTCTATATGGCAACACATCCATATAATATAAATGCGACATAATAAACAGTCCATTTATTCCCTGAAATGCACACAGCATAATAATCATGGTTGATATATGATTAACAGTATAAATATCCCATAACATCTAATGGATAACTTATATAACGATAACCGTGACATTATTAACAGTACTAATGAATACCATTTAATAAAATAATAACACCACCTATAGTAATGTTGTTCAAATGAATCACATTCATATCCGTACGGTAAACGGGCCAATTAAGGTTTAGAAATATTAATCGGCCATAACAATACTTAACGGGTAGAAAAATAATAATTTCGTGGCCCGTTAAACCCGTAAATACCAACGCAGTACCTAAAAATCCAAGTTTAAGGTTCTGGAATTTACAAAACAGGTCCTAGGGGTATTCTGGACTTTTCCAGTAGCTGTAGAGACCCCACACGCGCCTCCCAGAGCCTCCCCACGCGCAGCCCAACCTTCCCCACTCTCCCACGTGCCTCCACGCGCATCTGGCATCAGCCACGCGCTCCCACGCGAGTCTGGAGAGTTCCACGCGCGCGCACGCGCTCCCACGCGCGCGTTGATGGCTTCCTACTGACGTGGCATCCTCCGGTTGGTTGGCTGCATCACCTTTCCTACATGCGCGCCACACCGGATCAATCCACCTATGCTCCTTTCATCCTACGGCTGATGATTAGCGCGCACTATCATATGGTGTCCCGCGCTACACCGAATCAATCTAAGGATTCACAACCCATCTAACGGCTGCTGATCCATGCGCATGCTTGTTACAATACACCGCAACACACCAGATAACTCCGGTCACCTTCCTCACTGCCGGTGGCCGGAAAACTCGCCGGAGTCTCGCCGGAAATTACAGAAAATGCCCGGAAAATTCCTAAAAATTCTAAAAAAATCCCTAATGCCTTAAGGAAATATTTTTAGATATTTTGAACATCATAGGACAATAACTAATTATATACCATCCTAAATAATTAAAAATTTCACAAATTTAATAAACTAAAATTCCTAATTTATTAAACTCCTTACATGGTCTCTATGCTCTAAAATAATATCAATAAACTAAACAATTAATTTATTAATTCAAAGGGGAAAAATAGATAATAACTTGCCTTTTTGGATTTAAAATAAATCCGCCGGTTGCGCGTAATCGGGTAAATTCCCTACACCGGTCCAAGCTCCTTTCTTTCTTTCTCTTCCTTTCCACACTCTTACAATAGCTCACTAGAATTTATAATTTGTTTCTAACTCCCTTTCTTTTTTTCTAAGGTAGGCTAGCTAATTTATATACAAATTATATAATATAAATATTACAAATATCTCATTTTTACATTTACTAACCACCTTCCCAACTATATGGCTTCAATTCCACCCATAAACATTGATGAAATCCTATCCTAATCTCTAATTTCATCATGACATTGGTTTAATACTATTATTATTATTATAACCATTATTATTATTAATAAACTTTTATAATTATTATTATTATATTATTATTATTATTATATTATTAAACTATTATTATTATTATTATTATTACATAAGAATACATTATATCATTATAATACTTTAATTAACTAATAATGATTAATATAAGCATAACCAATAAATAAAATTATTAATAATAATACATGCATAATTAAATGAATAAATTTACTATTTTAACATACACAATTAATTTACATGCACATTTAAATGAACTTAATATAATAATGTAGCATGCACAATAATAAGTAAAGAAATCCTCACATAATTGAATTTTTAAATAAACTAAACTCTTTAATAAAATACGGGGTATTACAAATCACATCACAGATTGTCTCTTTCATCTAGTTCGCATAGCAAAAGGTTCCTCCTTTCCTTTTTCTCATCCTCAAGATTAGTCCATTGTGTTGGTTGAGACTTAAGAATTCAGGAAGCTTTTTCACATGGTTACATGAAATCCACTACCATCTAACCTTGTTATATCTCAGCCCAATCTTCTTCTTCTTCTTTTTTTTTTTTTTTTTTTTTTTTTTTTTTTTTAATAATAAAAAAAAATAATTTATAGTGAAGAGAAACTGGCATTGTCTGTTTCAATTTGTGTTTTCATTAGACAAATAAGTCCTAAATACAATATTATTTTAAGTTTTATCATGAATCAGATTGGTTAGATTTTATTAAACGATGAGTGAGAACAATATATATATATATATATATTGCTATTGTAATTTATATTTCGATTCATTCTTGATATATATATATTGCTATTACAATTTATATTTTGATTCATTCTTGATTTTGGTTTCTTGTTTTCCCTTTTTTCTCATATACATTACCATCATATGTTTTTGCCTTTAATTTTGTTTTCTCTTAGTTTTGCGAAGTTGTGGGTATATACAGGTAATACATGTGTATATTTTATATTATTTACTTGATGATGGCTATGAAAATAAACTCCATAGGTTGGGCTAATGACTTTTTCAACTTACACAACCACGGTCAACCAAAAATTATGAAGAACAAAAAAAATCTTTTCATCTTTAGCTTTTTTTTTTCACCTCGAAATTGAATTGGGAAATACTTTCCATCTTTAGCTTTTTTTTTTTCACCTCAAAATGAACATGTATGTGAAGGCGTCCTCAAAATCTTTCAATGGAAACCACGATGTACTAACGAAAAAAAAATTTGAAGAAAAAAAAATTTTCTTTCCATCTTTAGCTTCTTTTTTTATTTTATTTTATTTTTTACCTCAAAATTGAATTGAAAAATAAGTGAACTTGTATGTAAAGCATTGTATTAAAAAAAGAAATTCCTTCCATATATCAATTTCTCAAAACACTCTAGAAGAAAGAATTTATAAAATTAGTTACATATATTATGTTGAAAAAAATGAAAGAAAGAAAAATAATTAAATAATTAACTACGTGAATAACTTCCTTATTGTGAAATTAATAAAAAAAAATGTAAAAGTGTTATAAAAGTGGGCTCCACTTCCATAAATGTAAATACAAATTGAAGAAGTACATGAGGCGGTGGAAGAAACCTGTTGGTCCATTGACATGTTTACATGCCATTGGTCCATTGATGTGTTTATATCCTATTGGTGTAGTGATGAATATGTTAACTGCTCCATTAGGCGGTGGATCTTGGCTGAATATATCTGATAGTTTATTCTGTAAATTGTAGCTATCATCTTTCAGTGAATTAATAAAGTTCTCTCTCTTCTCACTTTACATATTCTTTCTTATATTTACAATACGTTATCAGCACGAGCTTTAACCATCTGAGACTTGAAATAAGAAGCTCTGTTTCCCTTTTTCTATCTCAACTCTATATATCTATTTTGTAATATTAATTTTGATAGATAGTGGGGTTTGCTTACTTTACTAAAGAATATTGTATTTCTCACTCCAAAAGGTAAGAAAATTTTATTTATTTCCGCCTTTATTATTTAATGATTTATTAACTATGACCGGAGTTAACCACCTTTATTATTTATGGTCAGTGTAAACAAAACAGTTAAGCATATAAGTCAATTAAATAAAATAAATAATACAATGAATTCAATTACCACAATTAAAACAATTAAGCAAATAAGTAAATTAGCAAATAAAAAGGCCAAATAATCAAATAAAATGCAATAAAACAATAATTAAAATGCCGAGACTATCCTTTTAAAATTAGAGTTATTACAAAAATGCAGTTCCCAAATACTATCAAATAAGCCGAATAAAAGTGATAGCTTTTACTTCTTTTTTTCTTCCATGTAAAATCATAAGTAAAAGCTATGTCAAACAAACCCAAAGAATGGTACTTTCAACATCCCTACCTCAAAAAAATGAAACCAAACCTTTAGATCCCAAGTTCGAAATTCACCAAATGTGTGTAAGATCGGTGTCAAAATGTTTCCCTTGCCAAGATCTATACTTTCTCTAACTACGGCTCTTCATTAATCTCACTCCAACATAGAGGAAATCTAGAGAGAAGGTGGAGTAGAAAAGAAAAAGAAAAGATGGAGGAGAGAAGGAGAAAGTGCCAAGAATGAGAGAGAGGGGAGTGGGTGATAATGAGTGGCCCTAGGCCTATCCTTGACCATTCAAAATATATGGTCCAAAATGGGTCTTCTACTTTGACCTACTCACTTACTTAACTAGCTCTCCTCCTTAAAACAATTAGCCACATGCCACAAAATATCTCTTCCTCCACTAACTCCACATATATATACCCATATATATATATAAATATAAAACACCTCAATGACCCAAATAAATAAATGATGCAATAGAATATACCGGGTCCTACATGGCGCGTAAATCGAGACATGAAAAATAATAATAAAAAAATATTTAAAAAATCTGGGACATTACATTACCAACCCTAACTCACACCGAAAGCCGTTAACCGACTTTATCGAGGCGAGATTGAATTACTATCTTTGGTTCCAAATCAGGCAACCATTTGGGGCCTAGTAATAAACTTTTCACGTCCTAAACTGGCACGCGATCCCTCTAGGTCGAATTAGCACCGAAATCGCGAAATTCGGTTTATTTTATAAAAATCCATTTCATGCCCTTTCTCATTGAACTTTCTCGCCATGCCATGCATGCAATTCAATTTTATTTATTTGGTCTCAACCTTATTTATATGCAACAATGGCTTTTACATAGTATTTTCTAGAAGTAAAGCACAAATATGTCATTCTTCATAAACCAACTATAAGCATGGCACTTTCTACAAATCATTCACAAGCATGACGTTCTCATTTAACTCAATCACAAGCATGCTTTTCATAGAATTCATATCATCACAAATCATACTAGCATTCATTATTTAAGCAACTTTGCACCAATGCCATGTTATGTACATACTTAACATGAAATTAAACACATTTTTGTCCACATACTAGTATGTTTTCACCACTTTAACATATTACTATCATGTCAATTCATACTTTAGCATTCAAAAATGAAGTTAATAGAAAATTATAGCATGAATATTCAATAAAAGGCAAAGTTTGAGGCATTAAAAATCCCTACCTCAATGAAATGCAACCAAACAAACCCTTAGCTAGCCCCCAATTTTGAAATTCTCCAAATCCTTGCAACCATAGTCCCAAAATGAAGCTCTTACCAAGTTGAACAAAACTTCCTTCTTGGTCTTTTTCAAAATCCTACCCTAAGCCTTTCAAAATTGGCTTGAAAACAAATAAGGCAAATATTTGTATGGATATAGAGAGAGAAGGAAAAGAGTTTAGACAGAGAGGAGATGCCCGGAAATGAAGAAGAGGAAGAAGTTGGCTTGGTCTTGCAAACATATAAAACGCCCTCATTGAGCCACTTGTCACTTTGTGGGTGATCCCACCTTTTTGGCAAAGTTACCAACATGCCCTCATTCAACCATTATAAAGTCATCCTTGTCAAACAAAATATCTTCCCAATGTATAGATATAGACATATGCATATGTGTGTGAAATGTTCACAACACACCTCAATGAAAATGACAAATTGGGAGAGGTTCCGGAGCCCGGAAATTGTCCCGATTCCCAAAAAATTTCTAAAATCAATCCCGTCGCCTCTAATTGACTTAAAATAATTAAAATGCACTTCTAAAACCTTGGCTCAAGAAAGTGACCTAAACGGCCCACAGGGCCCGCGTGGCAAGCAAAACAAGGCACCCAAAATAAATAATATAAAAATTCAAAAAAATCCGGCCAAGTTATATGACGTATGTTACACATATACACATTTTTAGACAACAGTACTTTTAATATTTTCTTTCTAATTCCCTAACTTTTTTTCTTCCACTTTTTTTTACCCCCAATATTGTTCTTCCCTGTCCAAGTTATTCCAGTTCAGTTTTTTTATTTTTTTATTGATGACATCTCATTTCAACTGGGGAAAAAATGAAGTAAAAAAGTACAGGTAAAAGAATTTTCAGGATGATTTAAAAGATTTTTTTAATAGAAAAGCAAAAGATCTGTTTAACAAGGACAGGAATGCATAAAGAAGCTACTCTGGAGAATTGGCCTTCCTAAGTCAATGGATTATGTCGTGTTGATCGTGGCTCATTACCATGAAACAACACAAAAGATTAAAAAATAATAATAATTAAGATCTTTGGCTAGCTAGTATACATACGTATACTTGTAACATATATAGATTGAAAGTTGAAGCTCTCAAGTATATATACATGGCTAATTAGACCACTATCAAGTGTAATATCTCTCATAATCAGTCAATCACAACAAGCCATTACTCTATCTGATCATATAGTATTCTCTAATTTGTGTTCCTTATGATGCACACTTAAGTTGCACAGCCAGTGTCTTGTACTTCAAATCTGGGCAAGAATCTTTGCTCTTGTCATCCAGAATTCCTCTGTCAAGTGGAATTGTGCAGCATTTCTTTCCCAAGCAGTTCTGCTCAAAACCAAACACAACCCACAAATTAATGCTTAGTAATGACACACACACACACACAGATAGAACTTGTGTTATAGTACTACATCATAATGGTGTTTGTTACCTGTTCAACAACTTTCTGGATGTTTGGTGAATTGCATTTTCCCATAGTGTAGTTTCCACACTGACCAGTAGGATCACCAAAGCTTGCAAATTCAACAGACTTGATTAGTTTATCATCAGGACAAGTCAAGTTAGCTGCTGATTTGAGTTCTTTCACTACAGTTCGGAGCTGGTTATCGTTCCTTTCCCATGAATCCACATCAGCTGGAGCATTCTCGGGCATAAAGCTGCATATTGTGTCTCTATTGATAACTAGGACCTCAATTCCTTCTGGGTTCCCTCCAGTTTCCTCAAAGACAACCAAGAGATTGTTTGCTGGTTTCAAGAAGGGTCTAGGAATATGGTACCTATAAAAGAAATACATATATTCATTTAGTATATTAATTAAACCCTAATTTTTGTATATGACTAATTCACTGGTTTGCACATTACTTACTCAGATTGAGATGGTTGTCCTAGACTTGTGAGGTAAGATGTCCAGTAACGACCAATGCTTTTACCGTTGACCCAAACCATACCTTTGGCCATGGAGGTCATTCGAAGAGCGACAGGACAATCACCTTCTGGAGCATCAAACTTTGTCTGCAATAAATTAAGAAAATCCATTGGCTTTTGAAATGCTGGAAAATTTAGGCATATCCTTAAGTAATTATTTCTTTTTGAAATTCTTGATATTTTTCTCGAATTATTCTAAAATCTAGAATTTGTTACTAGGAAGTAAATAGAAATGGTTAGTGGTACTATTGGTATTACCTTGTACCATGTAAGAGGTGGTCCTGCTCCCTTTGCAGCTGGTGTCCATTGCACTTTACCTACTCCTTGCTCTGTGTACAACTGGAGCTTCTCTCCTCTTACTCCAACCTGAATAATGGGAATAATCTCAGTTAGATTATCAATTTGGCTGATGATTGATAGATATCTAATCATTTACATTTCTATAAATACATAGATAGTATTTGTTAGCATACATCGATGTATTGTGAATCAAATGGAATGTAGTTTATGCATATATACCTCATGACCCCAAGTGTTCTGCGTGATATCACGGGTTTGACTGCCACTCACGATCGTTACAGCTCTGACTCCAGCATATTTACGCTCCATATAGGCTCCGCTATCCTTCATTTGGAAAGAATGTCTCATTAGTGTCTCTACTTAAGATAATTAGAAATTCGAGTAGTACTTTACTTAATTTACAAGTTCTCTACCGGAAATCCAACTGTCATTCCCAACAGTGTTATGTGATTTTGTCCAGGCTTCAACGTTATGGGCTTCTTCATGGAAAAACTCTTGTCTACGTCGCTCCCATGTTCAAACCCTAAAAATCATTGACACCAATAAGTATATATGAAATGTCATTTTCTTAGAAACTAGTTTTTAAGTCCAGTATGTCTAAGCACTGCTGGGAACATATATGTGCTTGTGTGTGATCAGGTTACCTATATATTCTCCATTTACAAATGCAAGCATTGCATGGCCAAGATTTGCAACCTGTAGATCCCCCTGCTTTGTCCCATCAGAATTTATGCTGCACCAAAAATGTACAAAAATAAATAAGGATCAGTGAATTTTAAACATCACATATGCATATATAATTTGCAGTCTTTTAGTGCATAACTCTTAAAAGGTTTAGAAAAACAATTCATAAATTGAATTGAGTTTCTTTTACAAATGTTTAAGACATGATTGATTACCTGGTGCTGTACCATGCGTAGTCAGAGGTATCCTTGGTGAGGCCATAAAGCTCCTGGGGCATCTTGTTCTTATTTGACATGTCCTTCGTAGTTAAAATGGTTTCTCGGAACATTTCCCATTTAAGATTGCATGCCTTGGTTGAAGGTACAAAATTCCTCGAGCTCTGTTGTGCAACAATCTGTTTTCGAAAAACCAAAGAAGGATGAGTGAATTTTTCTATCGCATTCAGTTCAAGGAGATTCAAGCATCGTGGTGCAGATTTTAGCCCTTTATTTTGCCTCTCAACTCTCATGGAAAAAACAGACAAATAATGTTATAGTTGAGCTGAATGGCTTCTCATTTGTTACAGCTTGGCCTTAGCAATGAAATATAAGTGATGATCAGCATTTACTGTTTGAGTATTGTAAACCACAGTCTTGCAATCTGGGAGGATGCTAATAGATTTTGCGGGAAGGTAAATATCTTGACCCCTAAATTTAATGGTGGCACCATCTCTTGTTTTGTTGTTGATCAGGAAAGCAGCACACATTTCACCAGGCTTCTCAAAAGTTCTAATCTGCAAAGCAAAACAGCTTAGCTTGTCAGTTTCTTTACATTGTTATAGTTACTGTCTCTCAAAATTTTCTTTTATTGAAAGGCTTAACCTCTAGATCATCGCCCTGCCTTTCCACACCGGGAGTCCCCCATAGTAAAGGCTTCTTGGACAGTTTTAATGCCCTATGCAAGTCCTTAAGATGACCCCATTTCGGTCCCCTCAGCAAACCTGAAAGGCACACAGAAGCGAACCTTGTTATATGCTTGTATGATCTTCCTCTTCTTAATGATTAATGGTGAAATTTAACAATCCTAACCATATTCATCAATGGGAGCTTCATCATAGTAGCGAGTCGTCACAAAAGATGAACCTGACCTGCCATAATTAGTCCCACCATAGTACTGCAAACACAAACATAAATGAGATTCATATGGCTAGCTTATAGGAGGTTCTATTACTACTCTAACGAAAAAAATTCTAAAGAAAACAGTCAGTAATGTACCATATAGTAATTGGTATGAGTTCCATTCTTGGAGAAGAAACGAGCAACTGAATATGCAATATCTTCTGCTGTTCTTTGAGAAGGTGCATCTCCAAATACTCTGTACCTGTAATACAAAATGAAATGCAAATTCAAATTCACATCAGCAAGAGCTAGTTAATAAAGGCCCAAGAGAATGGCTAAATTGGATGGTTATGCTTTACACAGACTAACTGTCACTAATGGTTTAGTGAATGCCATTTAGGGAGTATACTCACTGAGCAGTCCAGTTCTCAGTCCATAGAGAAGGCTTATTGGGACCATTCGGACCAGTGAATGTGTCACCACATTGCCTACCGTTGCATGTATTGATCTGCACAAACAATGCATATTCAGTCATGAAACTCCGAATAGAGTATATGTATAGTCTCTTCAGATTAAGGAGAGTTTGGTTCGGTACGTTAGAGAAATGTGAACTTACCACTGCAGTAGGGGCATCTTCTTGCTTGCACATGACCCACGGGACTCCTGTTTGTAGTGCCACTGCCATGTTTGCTGCCCACTGAATGTATCTAGCACCATTTTCCTTGAACACACCCTGGACATTGTTGTACTCATTTTCAATCTGCAACACAAATTAGACAAGTTAAAACAAAATATAAAAAATAAATTCGTTTTCAAAAATAGTTTGTATTAATGTTATTAAAGGTGACAATACCTGTGCCATAATGATCGGTCCTCCCTGAGGAGCAAACAATTTCTCCTGTTTCATCAAATCTATGATCTTCGAGACAAATTTTTGCATGTGATACTGCAAATTGGAAATTTTTTAATTACATTAGCTGTTTGATTCCATTTCATTTAGTCTTATTTGTTGGTTTGGGGGGTTGAAGATGATCACCTTGAATGGTTCATTGTCAGAACGGAATGTGATGCCAGGAATCTCTCTTAGCCAATATGGAAATCCTCTGTTGAGATTAACATCAAACAGCTTGTGATCAGATAGATTCTAACAGAATTAAAGAAGACGGAAAAAAAAAAAAAAATGAAAATAATTGAATCATACCCAAAGTTCCATTCAGCTTCAATGAAGGGCCCAACTCTAAGCATCACATACATATTTAGCTCGCCAATCATTCTGATGAATTTCACCAAATCATTATTACCCTCAAAGTTCCACTGCAAGTTTAAACAACATTCACATTAATATCAACCCAAATGGTCACAATGCTGGACACCATCATTTCACCAAATTGTTCCAAACAACCCTTTTTTCCTATACATATATCGATCATCACTCTTTGGGTGAGACTGATTCCCGATCACATTCCCCAAAATGTGTACAACAATATAGTCACATTGGCTAACATAGCTACTATTTCAAGACACAATTCCAACAATTTTTTTCTTCCCTCTCGTATGAGTACGAGGATATCCGCAATTGTTCTAAAACCTAATTTGCTCGATTGATTGACCAAATCTACATGCATGTCCTCGATCAATCAACATGCTCTAATTTGACAATATTTAGGATTTTTCAAGATTTTCAATTTTAACACAATATCTAAATATTCTACATTTTTTACGCAGAGAAATGTCACGGGCTAACCCTAGGAAGTGAATTGTGAACCGAATATTGGAGAATTTAACAACAGTTTGAGATCAAGCAGACAATACATTACCTGGCCTTGAACAGGCTCATGAACATTCCAGAAAACATATGTCGAGATGATATCCAACCCTCCATCTTTGGCTTTTTTCAGGATGTCCTTCCACATCTAAAACCCAATTCATCAAATTATATCATTAGCTCTGAATATGCAATTATGTGTGTATATATATAAATAGTACTCTTTGTATATTACTGATGTGACATAACGATAGAATGACATGTGACTATTTTAAATTATGCAAAGAAAAAAACTCAAATAAAAATACTAACATTCCCTCTCTTACATTAAAATTCAAAATAAATACCATGTCATTTTATTTATGTACGTTTGTTAATGCAGATTGAGAAATCACCTCAGGAGGGCTACGGGGATAATGGATAGAACCCGAAAACAGAATTTCTCTGGAGCCATTGATGATCATTGACCGCCCATCATAGGCCACACTGATTCCCTTCCCTTCTCCAACCACAGAAGTGACCATCAAGGAAAGAACAGCCAACACAAGTAACCTAATCATCGAGATCTCCATTTTTACTTGTCCTCGGAAGAAATCGAAAAAAGGGGTTTGCATCAACGTTCCTTCCTTCGCCGAGGACAAGATCAGAGAGTTCTTTTCTAATTGTGATCGGCGAGACAGAGCAGAATGGAACCCCTTCCCTAATCAGAGGAGGCACCAAAGAGCTGGCCTTGAAGACTCCATTCATGACCAGTGTTATAAGAGAGGGATGTACGCTAAATTCAAGGCCACAGAGCAAGTCTCGGAGCTCTTATTGTGGTTCTTGTTTCTAATTAAACAGGACATATCTTTCTTTCTCTCTCTATATTGATATTCTGTATGTACATAATCTATTATTGGGTGAGAGAGAAGGAATTGATTGTCTGGAAAAGGGTAGGCATGTGATAGAGTTTTTGACCTGGCAACAGTTTTAACGGTTATGAGAAAATGGCGGGAATGGACAAACTACTTTTTTACATGTTAGCGGGAGTGGAGGGTTAGGGGTAGGAATGAGCCACTTCAACCGGGGATCCGACACTGTTCAGCCTCGGTTTGTGCTTGTTTTCTGAATGTTCTTTCGGCTGGGACTGATACTAGAGTGGTTAACAATATATATATTTTTTTCATTTTATTAACTTTTTCAATTATTTACATCTTTTTTTATCATAATATTTTACGTTATAACCAATAAATGATTAACTTTTAAGTATCACCAAAAAAATAATAATAATAAAATAAAAATAAAAACAAAAAAGGTTCAAGTCAACAAAAATTAATCCTTAGTCAGGCACAGACTTACTTCAATGGCGGTGGGGGCACTGAAAAGAAAAATGGTCCTCCGTACCTATTGTTTTGCTTCTTTGTTTCTTTTTACTAAATACCTATAAAAATTTAAAATTGCTCCACTTCAATTAAAAAAATATATGTAACTATTTGTGAGATATAAATTTGGAACGTTGGCAAATTTTGGAGTCAAAAATTGATGATACGGGTGTAATTTTTGTTTATCTTAAGTCTCGGTATTATGGAGCTAAAGCGTTAATGCCTCTTACCGTAGAATCTGTTGAGAAAATTATTTAGAACAGGTAAGAGTGAGGAACACTTATGAGTATTTTTAGGCTGGGTAGAAGAATAGAGGTTGGAAATAGCCTTCAGCAAAGTCCAACTGGTTGCATTTGAAAATAGAACCGGTTGCATTTTCTACACGAGAACTGCTCTTGGGGAAAATCCAATAGTTTGTACATCCAAATGGAATCGGTTGCATTTTCTGGATAGGAACATGTCTCGGGAAAAGTAGGACCGATTGCACTCTAAAATGGAACCGGATGCATTTGCCTGAATATGCTAAAAATCATATTTTGGTTACTTATTAGTTTCTTGTTTTTACCCAAACTTGTAGAATAGTCCTTGCGCGATTTTAAAAGCTATTTTTGTCTTACTTAAGGACTCTTTACTATATATATAACATCTTTCACAAACCGTAGGTATGTTTTTTGAGAGATCGATGGCTTCAATTGGAAAATCAATGTTTTCATCTATTACTCATTATTAAAGCTTTTAAAGATATTTTTCAAAGAAGTCTGGTTGTTTATTTTTTAGACCACACACACTTAAACACCAGAGTAATTAGGGTGATGTTCTTGTACTGATAAACAAGGAATCTTCAAATTCTACATCAGATTATAAATTGATCAAAGCAGAAGATTTTCTACAAGCCTTTACCAAGTTCTGATTTGAAGGAAGATAATGTTTTGATCACACTTCGAAAGGATCAAGACATTCATAGAGTATTAGTTGATCGACCAGTGACCTTTTTTACATGGATCAAGAGTAAGCCTAAAGTCGAGTAATATTGAACATGGGAGTTGCAAAGCCAAGGAAACTCAACAATTGGTTTTTGGTGAAGTGCTTGGGTGTGAACCTGAGTCAGAGTTGACTGTACTTTGCTTCAAACATAGTGGATCGTTTTGCTCAAGATTGCGAAAGTCCTCGAGATTTTTTCCGGACGATTGGTTTATTCAACCAATGTAACGACCCGAACAAGGGTCCGATTCTGTATCCATGTCCTTACCCGAACCCAAGGACAATTAAGGGTACTGTAATGACCCGGTCATTTTCCTCCTTTTCCTTTTATGAAATTTTTCGGATAAATTTTTTCCGTTTAATTTTCTTTTCTAAGTTTAGTTTCTCATCTCATAGTGTCATCTCGAGTGCTTGGAAATGGTTTCTGAGACTCTTTCGTTTGGATTAACAACTTTCTTTAAGGACCAAGTCCTTTTCACATTTTCACTTTTCGGACACTATTCATTTTTCGTCCTTTTCCCTATTTTGTCATATTTTCCCCATTTTGTCTTTTCCTCGTTTGTCACTTTGTTGGCATAATCTCACTTTTCATCCTCGGAGTTAGTTTTTGACTTCACGTATCTTCGTTCTAAGTGGTTTCCACGAAATACGTATCTTTACTTTTGCAAGAAAGTACTCTGGTTGCTCCCGGTGTCCATAGGGGTATGGATGCACAGTTCTTCTAAATCTTTTTATTTTCTTGGGGTGTTTTTTGTAAATATCTTTTGAAGATATTTTATTTCAGGGGTTTTTAAGAAAATATTTTTGGAAGATATTTTCATTCTGGGGTAGTTGTGCAGTTTTCACTTTTTGGAGGGGCCCTTGTGCAATTAACGAAAGTTAGTACAAAAATACCTCGTTTTGAGCCTGGATCCTTGTGCGGGATTCAATTTTACATTTTGTTGAGTTGTGTACTCTTAGAATTTCCTTCTGGTCGTTTTCCTCCAGTTTCAGGGTTTCTGAACCCGGTTTGCGCCGAACTTGTTCGGGGCATATCTCTCTGTTCGGGACTCGGTTTTCAATGCCATTTCTTCCGTTGTTCATATTTTATCATTTAAAATTTTTTTTGTTTATAGAGTTTTGCCATTTGAGCACGTTTGCTCAAAATTCACTTTTCTGGACCTGGCGGGGCCCTTTCGGGGCACTTTTTGAGATTTTCTATAAATAGGGGAGTCTTAAGTCAAAAAGTCATAATTCTTCATGTTCTTTCCCCTCTTGGCTGGCAGCCATGGGAGCCCAAGGGGCTGCCTTCATTCTTTCTTCTCCTCCACTTGATTTCCTTAGTGATAAGTCTTCGGCCTTAACGTTTATTGTTCGCTTTGTCGTGCTCTACCTTTCCCCCCTATTAGAACCCATTTTTGACCATTTTGTGAGTTGGGTTTGATATCAAGTTGTGACTTTCATGGGGCTTCCTTGGGATTCTTGTTAATCGTGTTGTCCACGACAAAACCGTTCGGTATCGTCGGATTCGGAGCACTTTTCTTTCGGTGGGCTTTTGAGATTTTCATCCTAAATTGAGGTAGGGAGTGTTATAATTTATATATTTGTTATATTGCATGTTATTGATGCATTTACAACTCATTTACATGCTTGGATATCAAATCTAGAATTTTTAATTATTTATTTTCTAATATGAGATTTGATTTTCCCGGTGGGTCAGAGCATGTTTTAAACTTGTGGCATGAGATTAAATTACTCCATGACATGTTCATTGACATATATTAAATTGAGAGTTTTTGGACAAATATTAAAGTTTTTATTTAATATTTTTCTTGAATGAAAGATTAATTCATGTGGCCTTAACTAGCTTGGAATTAACATGTGTTATCATATTATATTAGGCACTAGTGTGCTCTTCAACATAGGTGAATTTTAGAGTAATCGGAGATGTTTTGAAATCTAGAAATATTTAATTAATTTGATTAATTAAATTATTCCATGTGCACTATTCATTCCATTGGAATTTCGACTTGATTTTATTGATGTCCATGCCACGTACTTTCACATATATTAAATTTAGAATATTTGATTAGGTTTTGAAACCTTTCGTTTATTATTTTTCTTGTATTAAGGTTTAATACTCATGGTTGTATCTTACATATAATTCACTTGTATCATGTTTTTAAAACAAGTCTTGACATGTTGTATAACATATATTAAATTGAGGTCATTTGAATGAATTTCAAAATCTAGAGATTTTAATTAAAATAATTAATTAAAATCCATTCAATGGTTCTATGCACTTGATTAAGTTTATAATTTTGTGTTCATGATTTCCTTGACAAGTTCCTTCATGTGTATCAACTTGAGAATAATCGGATAAGTTTTGAAACTTATATTTAATTATTTTCTTTGTATGGAACTTAATTCACATGGTTGGGTCTTGTATGGAATGAACTTGTAACTTGATATAGGACTTGTCCTTGACATGCCTTGTTCGTAGAACATTTGGATTTGCCTTGTAATCTTGATAATTTAATCCCTCACGTAGATTAAATTTCCATCTATGCTTCTATCGAGTTAACTATGCCTTGATATTGAATTCTTGTTAAATTCATGAATTGGATTTGTATTTTATGTGGCTTTTAGCTTTTCATCATATATCTCATATTTGTGGTATATTTACTTCAATAGATTCCATGTGCTTTATATCTTGGTTTTAATCTATATAAATGCACTCTATGATTCCTTGACATTTTACATGCCATCATAGTTAGGGCATGACTTGTGTGTTCCAAGATCTTGGTTGTGCATGAAATGTGGTTAATGCATTTCTTGTATTTTGATACTATCTTGATTTGCACAACTTGTTAATTTTGGGCCTTGGGATATCAATCAAGAATTGACATGGCTAGGACTTGGTTTTAGTACAGAGGAATGTCCCTCTACACTATAGTGCGCACTAGGGGAAAGGTACACATGGGTTAGTAGCCCTAAAGTGATCTCAAGAGTACGGTATTAATCCGAGCGATATCCGAGTTTCCACATTGGTTGATTTCACTCTTTAAATTTCAAGTTGCTATTCCTTGAAGATTTAAAACTTGTCGTGTTATGTGAAATGCTCCAATCTTGTTTAAATGCATAGATATTATGCCTTGTTCTTGATTTCATGTATGACTCTTGTCGTGTTAATTTGTATGTTCCAATCATGTAAATTGCATTGATAATGTGATTCTTGTATTCTAATATCCTTTCGTCGTGTTATATGGATTATTCCAAACCTTGCTTAATTGTATTGATAATGCAATTCATGTTAATCTATGTTCAAATATCCTTCTTGTCGTGTTCTTTGGATTATCCCAACCTTGATTCGTTTCATTGATTACACTCTAAGGTAGCTTAGGATGATCCCTGAGTC